GAACCCGGCTCGGCTCCGGCGTGCTCGCGGCCCGCGTGGGGCCCGCCGGGCGGGGTGTGCAGCTGCCCGAGCCGGGGGGGGGAGGGGCGAGCGGGTCAAGGCTGGCCGCTCGCCTTGCTGGAGTCTGGGGCACACAGTGCGGCCGCTACCGCGGAGCCCGGGCCGGGCCGGAAGCGGACTGCCTGGCGGGTCCGATGACTACGTTTCTTCTTATTATCCACGAAGAGTGCGCGGACCGTGGCCGGGCTGTGGCGGTCCAAGCAAGAGCACGAGTGGGCGCTGACTGGCTCGGAAGGGAGGCGCCGTGGCTGCGCCAGGCCAGGAAGAGGGCCCACTAATCCCCCAGCGAGGGGCTGCGAGGCACCGGCCGAAGAGGGCCGCCTGCGCGTTCGAATCCCAGGAGAGAACTTCGAGGGAGGCCTGGGTCCCTGCGGGGGCTTCCTGCCCGCGCACCCCCACTCCCGCCCGGGTGACGAAAAGGGCCTGATTTACAAATGAGTGGGGCTAGACTTGTGACCGAGGAACGAGGTGACATTCCTTTGTCAGCTGGCTCCTGAGCGGGCCTGCCCGCCGGTCCTGACTCCGGGATGCCACCAGGACAGGACCTCCGTCCCTCCCGGCTCGGCCGCCTGGTCCCAGCCCGGCGCTGCCGGGACAGGGACTCAACAGGAAAGCATAGCCAGAGAGCCCTTCCCGGCCCGCTTCCTCACCATAAAAAGCCAGACTCCAGCCGGGGTCCTGACCCCTTCCAAATATACATTCTCCCGTCCCCGGCCCGCCACTCCTGGGGCTGTGCCGCTTCCTCCCGTCTGGCTGGGCACAGGCCTCCCTTGCGTGGCGGGGACGCTAAAGCCTGGGTTTCAGTCGCCTGCTCCAGGTCATCACCCCTTCCGCTCTCTCGGCTTGGCCGTGGCTCTGGGCGCCTGAGGCACTTGGGCCGGGGCTGCAGATGTTGAGGGTTTTATTTTCTCTAAGCGACAGGCCCTCACCACCTCTTCAGCTCTGCTCTCCGGTCTTTCCCCACGTTGGGGAGAGTGGCTATCAGCGTCCAGAGGCTGGCGTAGGGGCACGTGCGGCCCAGGCGGAGGGGCGCGGCGCATGCGCCCCGAGCGCGCCGGTCGGCGGCCGGGAGCCGGGCCCCTAGCCCAAGGCCGCCTAGCTAGTCTGCGGACAGCGCGGGGCATCCTAGGCTTCTGCATTCTCAGTCTCCGCCTCTGCTGCGCGCAAACACATGCGGGCGCCCTGGCCCAAATTCAGAGATAAAAAAGGGCAGTCATGAATGGGGCCTGGCTCTTTGACAGCTGACCTTAGAAGAGGGGAGGGAACCGGGTGTAGCCGGCGAAGCTGGGGTCGGACCGAGGTCTTGCCTCCCATCAGAGACGCTCTTAGGGGACGAAGCCGCGCTGAGGTGGGGTGGGCCCTTGCGTCGCCTTCGTGAAAGGCTCGGGGACTTGGAAAGGTCTTTGGGATGGAGGTGCTCTCAGGGTGGCCTGGCAGGAGGGAGCGCGACCGGAAGCCCCGCGATTCTGGCCTCAGGTAGCAGTGGCGACCACTGCGGTGCAGACCCTCCGGGCGCCTTCTCCTGGCTGGGGACAGCTAAATGGCCAGGTCCGTTCGTGGGGAGCAAACCCCGACAACACACCCTTGGGGGATTGGCTCTCGGCCCCTGTTCTGTGGGGGGGGGGGGAGTCAAAGCAAGGCAGGTTGCGGGGAGCCAGAAGACTCCCGGAGGAAATCGGGCCCTGACCCTGTGTGTATGCAAAGGAAATCTTGGACAGTGGGACACCCAGACTAGGGCGGGGCCGGAACCAGGTCCAGCCCCCGGAAGCGCGTTTGTGTTCCAGTCGTCGCTGTTGTTCGTTCAAGTTCTCAACACCTCAGTGATTAAAACCCAAAACTTCTGGAGAGATGCCGGTGGTATGTTGGGACGTGTAGATCTGTTCGAAAAGCACGTTCACGAGCACGCAGAAAAGCAATGTTTTTGTAAAACCCAGGTGGGAGCTCTCCCACGCCTAGCCCCTTGAATGCCATCCACCTACGGCGCAAGACAGGGCTCGGCTCGGAGAAGAGTTGTACCGTGAACTTGTATTCCCTGGGGGTATATCTTCACACTGAGAATGCCTAGTTGGAATCCCAAATACAAACACGGTGCCTGGGGTGCTTTGAGGCTTTCTCTTGGGACTTAGAAAGTTATTTGTCAACAATGCATTTAAGGTTATTATTTGAAAATGAAAATTTGAACTGTTGCCTCCTGCTACGACCTGAGCTTTAATAACACGGGAAAGGTTTCCTTGGCCAGCAGCCAATCATCGGGCAGCCAGGGGTTCCAAAGCACCTTGATTGTTGGTGTTGGTTAAGGAAACTATTGCTGCCATCTTGGTGGTGCAGAATCTTTCAAAGCATTTCAGCACTTCCCTTAAAGGTCGTGGCCAGCCTGTCCCTGAACAGCTGCAGAGGTGTTGCAGGTTTATTATGCTGGGCCTGGCCTGCTCCTAATTCCTTAAGACAAAGGGCCTCAGACACAGCCCATGGCAGGGCTCTGGCAGGCAGGTCAGATGGAAAATGAGACTGCAGTGGATCAGGTATCCCAGGGCCTCGTCTCTCATCTGGCCTACAGTGTGGGTTTGACTGCTTTGCCATAATATTTGTGTACTGAAAGTTTAACTCCTAGTTTTTACTGGAAAAAATCAAGGCAGAAGATATTTTATCACATCTAAAATGAATAGCCAAAGCAGAGAAGACAAAAAGGGAAAAAATAAGTTCACTGACATTGAGTTAAGATTTTACGAAACCCTTTAATAAGAATTGTCTTGAAGGATGTCCAGATGAAATTCTCTCACAGCAAGGAAAGAAAGCATGGAAATACTAAAGCAAATCTGTTCTTTTTCTTTTAAATACACACGCACACCCAGGGGAGACTGAGAAGTCAAATGAGTCCCCTTGGACCACAGTGATTGAAGGTGCAGGAATAGAGAGAAGGTTGCAAATTAAAATACTTTTTTTGTTTTCTCCAAAAACGGACACTACAGTCCATTTTGAAAAGTGTAATTAAAAGTTATGGTTCCACTTGAGTTGCATTAAACCCCTGCCTAGAATCCCTCCTGTTCCCCACTGAGGAGCTTATTATGGCTTCGAGCTTATGTTATGAAGCCACAGAATTTTGAATTAAATGGGGCCACTGCAAGCACCAAGACCCCTGCAAGGACTCTCCTGGGTGTGGGGTTGGGTAAGGGGCTCAGATGGCCAGAGAGGAAGGTGGCCTGCCGGTAAGGGTGAGGGCGGAGGGTAACAATGTGCACATGTGAGCTTGTGTTTCTAGGCGAGTGTTTATGAGAGTGTGACAGTGTGAGTGCGTGATACATGTTTGTGAGTTGTGTTTGCAAATACTTGTGTGTTTGTGTGTGACAGTGTGAGATAGCATGTTTGTGAATTGTTTGTATGGGTATTGGTGTTTGTGAGTGGGTATTTGTGAGTCTGTGTTTGGATATGTATGTATCTGTGTGTGATATTTGTGTGTATTTGTCTGTGTGACAGTATATGTGATGTGTGTCTGTCCCAAACTACCCAGTCATGGAGGCCCAACCTTCAAGGGACCATCTGTTTCCAGTTAGTAGCATCCCGAGTGTAGCGGTGAAGGCGTGGCTGGCCAGCTTCTGAAAACAGGGTGGGCGCAGCTCAGGCGGCCCCAGTGCTGCCCCAGGGAAGCCAAAGCCACCCCTGGCCAGCATGCTTTCACACTGATCTCCAGCAGCCACACAAAGAGCCCTCTCTCCTGCCGCCAGCCCTGGAGCCTGCAACCTCCCCCAGGTCATAAACCTGCCTGTGAAGCAAGTCAGAAATGGTTCGCCACACTGTGCAGAGGCTGGGATTCCATTCCCTCTAAGGTTTTATTTTGCTTGAGGAGGGTAGAAGAAGAGTCCTGACCTGGTGTGTTCTAGGGCAAAATGTCTTTGGCAGAGGCATACACCTGTACTATCCATTGTGTGTACACAAATCCTTGCTGCTTGTGGAGGTTCTGTATGTTTGTATGTCAGCCTTCCTTTAAACGTACAGACACACTGTATACAGCTCAGGTACACACATCTGTGGTCAATCCCAGGCTGCCTAGATGATGCACTCAGTGAGACTGGACCCAGTGATCTGAAGCTGGACCTTAACTCTGTTATTTCTAATTATCACTGATACAGTTCAAGGGTGTAACACAGTATCTAGATATAATAGGCACTTAACATAAATTTGTTGTCTGAATAAATCAAATTTAGATTTAGAAAGCGATCTAGTACTGAGAAGAGCACTGTGTGACAAATTCTAGACCAAAAGGAAAGGCACGGCCCAGAGACCGCTGGGTAACCCAGGGGCTTTGGCATGGAATGTTCTAACAATATTTACTTACCTTTAAGTTTCTTCTTCTAAAAACAAACAAAACAAAACAAACAACAACAACGAAAAACCAAATCTGTTGCCATCGAGTTGATTCTGACTCGTAGTGACCATATAGGACAGAGTAGAACTGCCCCATAGGGTTTCCAAGGCTGTAATCTTTCTGGAAGCAAACTGCCACATCTTTCCCCTGAGCAGTGACTGATGGGTTTGCACAGTGGACCTTTTGGTTAGCAGGAGAGCTCTTAACCACTGCACCACCAGGTCTCCTTTCTTCTTCTAACCCACCTCTATTTCTCAAGCGATCTTTTGAGGTGGTGGAAGCTCCGGGTGGGTTCTAACTATAGCCACCAGAGGTGTGACCGATGCCTCACTTTTGCAAGGACTAGATTTCCTCATCAGCTGGTAGAGGAGCTTATTGTCAACACAGGGAAAGGGACGTCTCAGGAACTGTCTGCCAGAGGCGAGGTGGTCCCCACCTTCCCACAGGGAAGGACCCGGCCGGATGTAGCACAGGGGCTCTCTCAAAAGGAGGTGATCTCACTCAGCAGCAATTTGGGGGTCTGTTTGGGGGCCCTTATAGCTGCTTTGTGTAACTCTGAGAAATCACCAGCATCAACTCAGTTAATGCTGTTCATAAAAAGATCATGTTTAATAAGAAAAGAGAAACACAATTTGAAGGCCCCACAATTTCAACTGTCTAACGATATACTTTCAAGTGAAATGAATATGTGATTAAATCATCTTGATTTCACAAAACCATTCAGAGGAGGCTTCCACGAAGGGAAAGCAGGACTGATCATCGCGTCCCGGCTGCCACAAACTCGGCAGGGAGGGTACACAGACGGCAGCACACGGTGTCGATGCCGAAGAGCCAGCCTGAGGCGGCGGGGTCGTGGGGCTCCGCCAGGGCCTCAGGCGTTGGGGTTGTTCCTCATGAGCTCCACGTCGGCATCCACCATCTCCCGCACCAACTCCTGGGGCACAGGGAAGACGGCGGGAGGTGAGAGGGTTTCTGCCTCAGGAGCCCCCACGCTCGCTCCCCCTGGGGCCGCCTACACCGCCCTCCGTGCCTTGCACAGTCCCGGGGTTCCGGCGTCCGGGCGCAGCGGCTCAAGGGTGGGAGAATGGGAACTGGGGCGGCTGACCCGCTCACCCTGCCACCCCGCTCCCACTGCCAGGACTGGCCCACACCACCCCGCACCATGAAACAGAAACTTACATCAAAAGTGACTTGGGGCTGCCAGCTGAGCTTCTGCTTGGCTTTAGAGCAGTCTCCCTGCAGAAAGTCCTGCGCAGGGGTGGGGGTGGGGTGGGGTGTTAATTGAGCAGGTCTGAGCGGGCGCAGGCGTGGGCCCGGCCCTGGAGGGCGCCCCAACTCCGCGCCCACACCCGCTCTCCTCCCCAGCGCTCCTGGGCGCTCCGCGGCAGCAAGCCCCAAGTCGTGACCCTCCGGGTTCCCGCGGTGCAGTTTCAGCTGCGGCGCTAGGAGCCATAAATCATCAGAGGCTGCATTAAGAATACACTGCACAGGCCACTTGAAAACCGTAAAAAGCCATCAATCCCCAGCTCATTCCCAGCCTCCCTCCTCCCCGCCCCCCACTACCGCGTCCCGTGGACGCTTTAATGACTTTTTTTTTTTTTTACATTAAGTTGTCAGGGACGCTACTGTGAGAACTGTTTCGAATTACTGCACTTCTCCATCAAAAAGAGAAGTAAATAAATCACCATGAGGGCCCTCCCCTCGCCCGACGGCAATGCGACACCTCGGGCGGGAGTCAGGTTCTTGCGCCGGGCAGTCTCTGGGCCGCGCGGTGACACAGCGTCAGCTCCGACAGCAGAATGTTTTAATTTTGACTAAGTCAACAGCTACAGCTACGCAGGGTAACGGGGAACTCAAGATGCGACTCTGAGCGTTGACGCCAGCGCGCCTGACCCTGAGCGAATGGCCGGATCGCGCACGCGGCCCAGTCCCCGAGCTCCCTCCGCAGCGGCCGCAGTTCCCACAGCGCGGCCTCGGAGTCTGGCCACCTGGTCTTGGCAGGAACTCTCTCTCCTTTCTCTACCGTGGGCATCGGCGTGGGTGCCCGGCGGCTGCATTAGCCAGGGGTGGTATCCAAGAGCGGCTAGGCCCGGAAGCCAGATGGAACCCGCGCAGGGCGCCGCAGGCTTTCTGACTCACGGTAAGAACTGCACTTTACACTGCCATACAGCACACCCACACAAAATGAAACTAAAGTTTTACGACACAGTACTTACTGTTCAGGGTACTACATATTGTCTATTCTACTCCATTCCATAGAAAATGCTGATCCCGACCCACTTAATTGATTTCACCACCCACTGGTGAGCTGCAACTAGCATTTTGAAAAACCACTACTTTCAAGAGCACCCTGGAGCTTCTCCCCACTCCTTCCTTTTTCTCCGTGATCCCTCGCCGCTCTGGTGGTGGAGCAGGTTAATTTTGAAGCGAACGCCAGCTGGGGACGGCATTTGCTTCATACTCAATCTGTCATTCTACCCGACTGGTAGAGCTTTATCACAATATAGAAAAAGAGGCCTGTCACTCCCAGCTCTACCGTATGAGGAGGAGAACGCACACGCACCAGGGCTGCAATTCATTTCCATCCAAGGAACATAGGCCAAAACAAAACTAGAGAAGAAAATCCTGCGTCTCAGTCTTTACTTACTTGCCCATTTCTTTACAGCTCTCTGAACACTGACTTAGATGCAAATTGAGATGAGAATTTCAAGATGAGTTGCAAAAAAGAAAGGAAGGATGGGAGAAAGAAAAAAAGAAAAAGACTTTGAGATAGACTGTTGTTGGGGGTGAGATAATTATTTAGCTTTTCCACATGCAAATGTATTCATCAAATAGTGATAAGATGTGAGTTCCCAAGACAAAGGGAAGAATGTGAAGGTAGTATGACAAGAGTCTGACTTTAACCATACCTGATGCATGCCCATTTTGAGACAATCAAATCAATGAAAACATTAAGACACTCTATTTTGGCTGCACACAACATTAAAGAACAACCTAAAACACACATCAAGTGAATGTAACAGATAATGAAGCTGCAGTTGAAAGTCTTCCCATTTATTTTTCTCGGACTTCCCTGAGGGTTGGCCTGCATAAGACACTGCTACAGATGCATAGTGGGAAAGGTTGGGGGCGCTGGGTGCTACCTGCTTTGCACTACATACTTTGTGCCCCCTTCACTGCAAAGCCTTTTACACCAAAGGGTGCTTGGATTCTACTTCCAAGGTCTTCTGTTTGCTTACATTCAACAATTCTCATTCTCAAAAATCCATCATTACTTTTAGGCTAAAATAAATCAAGCTCCCAAAGGCTTTACATTTTATAATACACTGAAGTTCTTTCCAGAGTGTTAATAATAATAAAACATGTTATCTCTGCTGGCCCTAAAAGCCCATATACAGATTCTTCAGTAAAAGTAGGATACAAAAATGAATAATTAGCAATTTAACATAGTGCCACCTGGAGATGGAAATATACAAGGAAAACCAAGTAATTTCTTTCTTTTTCCTGTCCCTAAATAAACTTGTACATATTTCTACAATACCTGTACTTTTCTATTAGAGTCACACAAAGCTATTCTTTCTTTTCCCCAGAAGGAGCTGTGAAATGTGGCATCGTGAAGCAGCACAGTCCTCGTCCCTCCCTCCCTCAATTCTATAGCAGTTACACAGCTTGAAGAAACATGGCTATTGTTTAATCACATAACACTTGCTGTAAATCAACCAGCATTTCATGGGATGCAATTCATGGTTCTTAACTTAGAGTTAGCAAAACCCTAAAACCCAGTTTGGCTTCAAATGATCTCAGTAGGCTTGGGAAAGGGAGCTCTGTATTGTAATTATGCTTCCTGTATTTTTCTACAAGTAGCTCATAATATAAAAACAACCAGGGAACTACAATGAAGGAAAAAGAAAAATGGTTTTGAAAAGCGTAGGAACAAACATTGCTAACATACGCTGTAAAAGTATTTCATTGAAACCAGAGACGTACCCAGTTAAACTCCACAATTTAGTTTTGAGGCCAGCTCCTACATTCCAGTCTAGCAGCTTACTTTAACCTGCTGCCAAGGCTCTGTCTCCCTGAAATTTAATTAGACCAAGAGACCTTGTGAAGGGGAAGGATGAGGTTCTGTCAAAGTAAAATGGGCTCTCTCAGCCAGCTGCTACTGAACCAACATCTAGACCAGTATACTCATTCCTAATCAACTGCTCAGGAAAGATTAAGGACATCCCAGATGCTTTATACTTAACTGCTCCTGACAGAATTTCTACTTCTTCTTGTTGTGTCATTTATATAAAAGATATAGTAAATGGTTTAGTCTACAAGGTTTTAGGCAAAAGGCATACTTAAGTGTGGTAGGGGTGGGAAATAGGGGTAGGGGTCGGGGAGAGGAGACTGGTGTGGAAGTGGATGTGGTTATGGCCCTTCCTTTATTATGAGTGGAATGATAGGAAGGACAAGAACATGTTCTGTAAATAAGGCTTCCTCTGCCTGAAAAGAAAACAGATGGTGGAAATTGTATTCTTACAAGGAAGTCAAGCACTGCTGTTTTCAGACACAGGACTTCACCGAGCACTGGGGGTTGAGGAGGAGAAAATAAGGCCACAGAATACATTCATTTCACATTTAACACCCTTACAAAAACTCTGAACTTCCACAAGTTCCCTTAACGGGGCATGCCCAGCTCTTCAGGACAAGAAAGAAGAGTTTATCTGTTTTACTCTCCTCTTCTTTTTTTTGACAGTCAGTTCTTTCTTTCCTTATAGGCTGAAGGCCATTTTATGACAACAGGGGCAAAATGCTGAATTAAAGTGGTGATTTTATGTAGTTTCCAAAAAGACTTATTGCACTGGGTGGTCTGGAATGTTCCTTTAAAAAAGAGACAATAAAGCCCTGAGAAAAATTTAAAGCATTTCCATGTGAATATGACATTTCCTGAGCTCTGGCTTCTGGTGTCTTCACTGTTTTCATTGCTATTCCTTAGGTGAACTATATGGTTTCAATATGTCATTTATTATTGTCAAATCAGTTAGGTTTAACTGAGCATTTTACAGCAGCAAAACAGCATGAGCAAAGAGAGAAAATGTATGTGTCCAAATGCCCGAAGCACAGTCATTTTTCTCTGACTCCCTGACTACTGCTTGTTCATATGGCCTTTCAGAGTTATCCTGTCTGGCCCTAAAGCTCAAACCTAGGGGTCAAAGTTGCAAATGGTAGGAAGATGGGAGGGCATGTTGTGCCGCAGCAATTTCTAAGGCTTTCCTGGCTTATGTTCTTGTTATAGTGAACTGATAAAGGGCCAGACCAAATCCTGGAAAAGTCATTAAGCCAGTTGCTGAACCCACAGCAGTTAACATGAAATCCAGAAAAGTGGAGACTGCTATTATCTTCTACCCTAATTGTGTGCCCTTTCTTCAAATCTCTTGGGTACCTTTTCACCTCCAGCAAGATAACAACACATCTTTAAGTTCCAATCTTATTATATTTTGATCATTCTTTAACACATTAAATCCCTTTGACACCGCCTACTTTCCCTAAAATCTTTGTGTGTGTGTAGGGAGGGGGATGTTATTAAATAGATTGTGTGATGTAGAGTAACTTTTCAAAGTTCACAGTCTATTTCTTTCTCCATCTTTCACTGAGGTTGCCTGGGGATACTTTTAATTAATATTTATTTCAAGTTTCCTTTGGATACCATGTTCAATCAACAGGCCTGTTCGTAAGTTTTGCAAAAAACATCTGCTTAGGTAGAGAAACATTTTAAGAGTGTGAGACCTTTTGGTAGGATGTTGTTAAATCTCTGATGTACATATTGAAAGAAATGAGCTCCTGAGTGCTATAAATAAGGAGAAGGAGCACAGACAGGTGATGTTAGTGAGGAGAACCCAAGACTGAGAAAACCCCAGTTAAACATCTTCAGGAATTTAAGATATGAAACTGTGAGTGGCACTGGATATTCATTTATTTTTCCTTCTACTTTTCTTAGAAAAGCAAAATTGAGGAGTAGCTCAGGTACCAAGGGAATAAAAGAATGCCAGTGAATTTGGTTCTCGGTCTAACTTTACATTAGTGTAAAGTGAGCAGGAAAGCATTACTCTTGGGGTAATGCTTCTTTTTAGAAAGACAAAACTGATATGTATATAT